GTATATTTACCTTTATATTCATACCTTTGTACTTATACCAAGTATTCATACCTTTGTTGATCTCCGTGTTTTTTTCTTTGGGGGTTCCGCCTCACGCAGCTCTTTGCCATACCGTCTATCCATTTCGTAAAGGACGCATCGGTCATCTTGGCAAATGACCAAACATTGTTTTATAAATAGTGCATCTCATTGTCAAGTCCATCTATATAATTCAGTCCCAAGTGCACTGTAAATCACAAATGCATTCAATGCTGTCATTCATCATGCAAGTGTCACTTTATTTCATTTAACTCCAAGGCCAAAAAAAATGGTCAGTCTCTGGTCAGCGTGCGTCGATTTTAATCAAATGATGGAGGGCACCAAGGCAAATTATGGAGGACACCAATGTATATAAGGACATAAAAAAAGGAAAACATACATGTAGTACCCACCTTGTTTGTACAATCCATGCTTGAAAAAAAAGCAATCCCCCCCCCCAAAAAAAAACCGCATCGCCGCATCAATTCCGGAACTTTGGTCTGACCAGTTACCGACTTTTTTTTGTTGGCCTAACAAAGGTTTCTTAGTTAGGTCAGCCTACAGAGCTATGCTAGAGTAACGGGTCTGTTTCTTGGGCAAGCATCACAAGATTACATGCAAAAATATGGCTGCCACCTTGGTGACAATGGCCCAAAATACTTCACTGGTGTTGGAAATCTAGATTCCACTGTGGTAGCAGATCATGCCTGTATTTTCGTTTCAGGGTATTACTTTATTATACAGGATGTCCCCCAAAAATGACCCTCAGAAAGGTATACAGAATTCTTGTAATTATGAAAAAAAATTCAAATTCAATTATAGAATCGATGAGCCCAAACATTTTTCTTTCTTGTGTTAAGTTTTTGTTGGATTTGGTTCAGTGGTTTTGAAACAAAGTCCTTGAATGTAACACCAGTCCATTTTGCACCATTATACGTTCGCCAATACATACCCTACGTGTCCAAAAAATCCTACGCTCTATCATTAAACCAAAATTTTATATCATGTAAACGAAGCATGACATATTTTATGGAGTGTTTTTCATCAGTTTCAGAATTCGGCTTTTTTGACTTGACGTCCTCCAATGTCGACACAGAGCTGGAGACGGGGCTGAAGCCATGTGCTGCGGCCGGAAGCTTCTGAAGGAATACAGGATCAGCCCTGATGTCATTGCACACCTCCTCAATCATTTGCAAGGACATCAGGACTGATAATGCATTCATACACAAGCTTCAAAGCTCAGACCGTGGCCTTAGCCCCATCTCCATTTCAAATTCAAAAGTGGCAAATTATGAAAGTGAGTAATTTGTCTTCGCATGGTGATTAAATCTCACCCTCTTGCACAAAAGTTATGAAATTCTCTCCATAAAATGTTGGCAATCGTTGTTTAAATGAACTAAAATTTTGGTTTAATTCCATTGAAAAACAAGAGAGTTAAAGGATCAAAAGAAAGACTTTTTGACAAGTTTACGTTATCTATTGCCAAACGGAATGGAGCATGGTGTGTGAAAAATCATATTCATAATTGGAGGATTTGGGACAGTTAGGGTTTTAACCCTAACAGCCCGAATCCTCCTATTACAATGACCTTTGTTTCAAAACCACTGAACCAAATTCAACGAAATCTTAACACAAGAAAGAAACATGTTTGGGTCATCAATTCTACAATTGAGTTTAAAATTTTCTCTATAAATTATGAGAATTATGTACACCCTCCAGAGGGACATTTTTTTTTTGGACAGCCTGTTTTCGAAAGTTTCACCATGAATTATATCTGTTATGTTTTCAAATCTTATGACTATGCGTATGATGATCAGGAAATATTAAAAAGACATCAGGGTTTTCTTACCAGACAGACCAAGTACTGTTGCACGAAGGCGTACGATTGGGTTGCCCTCCCTCAAGCTTTTGAGGGGCACGGTAGCCTCCAGTGTGCGAGTCTTCACGATAGCACTCTTTTTGTCTTCATCGAAAACAATCAGTGCCTCGTTGGGAACTGTAAAAGATTTTTTTTTGAATGAACAGTATGACAACTGTGACAAACAGTTTGAATCAATTTCAAATTAAAAGAAGACAGTATGACCCATGGCATGGACCTTTAAATAAAGTAAATACTCTGTTAATGAAAAATAGTAATAACTTTCCAAAGATATTCATTTTCAGGAAAATGTTACTGTTTATTTACTTCATCTTAGTGGTTGTACAGGTGCTTTTGGACAGCCATGACAGCCATGCAACATAGCTTTCATTTGTTGTATTTTTGACCCTCAGGAGTATGAGGTGCCACGTGTAAATATTTTAATTAGGTTATTTTCGATGTTTATAATTCACTATTTACATGTATGCATTTCGTCTCGGACAATTGTTTGGCAGTTTGCATGTTATGTAAAAAATATGTTTTTGCCACAGCATTATTTACAATAATAAATGATATAACGTTACAAAATTATTTGTAAATAATGCAGTAGCAAATGTATTTATTTACATATGATGCAAACTGCCAATCAAAGATTTCTATAAATATATAAATGTCCGAGAAGAAAATTGTGAATTAGGCCTAGGCGTATATATAAATAAATAAATAAATAAATAAGCCTAAAGAAGCCGAAAAACTGAAATATATATTAAGCAAGCTGATTTACCCGATCATAGATCGGGTAGTGCGTATTTAGCTGGGGTTGGATAAATTATTTATGAATAACTTTGTTAAATAATTTATGTCCACCTTATATTTAATACAGAAAAAGCTGTGGTCCACGGCATATCTTGTCTTGGAAGTGTTCATGGTGTTATTGTTCTTATAGTTATTGCCTATAGCTATGCACTTAGTCCTATGCAATATTACTTGTACTAGCCTAGTAACAATTTCCACGTACAGTAGGAAGCGAAAGAACTTGGACTCACGCAAGGACACGCGCTGCAAAATGCTTACATTTTTTCACTAGCTAGATTTATCGCGTGATTAGCGCGATAAACACGCGTGTTTATCGCAGTTATCGCGTGGTTATCGCGTGTACGCAGCAGTATGGGATCCTATGGCAGACGTGCGACGGGCTGTGCGCGTGGCTCCACGCGTGGAGAACACGGGTTCCGCGCGTGGAGAACACAGGGTCCGCGCGTGGAGAACACAGGGTGTGCGCGTGGAGAATACGGGGTCCGCGCGTGGGAGAACAGCACCCGATTTCACTAAAGGATGCGACGCGTCGTAACTCGAGTTACGAAGAGTAACTCTTCGTAACTTACGACGCGTCTTAAATTCCATTTCACTAAAGTTACGATGCGTTCAATGCGTCGCAAGTACCTTGACAACGGCATGAAACACGTCGTAAGTTACGACGTGTATTTGGGTCGTCATAACTATATGAAACAATATTTTAGATGGCGCTTATGCTCCTTGCAGACCGTGAAGCCAGAAGAGCATTAAGAAGAGAGAGAGTGTTCAGAGATAGGCAGGATCCTTTAGATAAATTAACCGACGAGGAAACGTACAGAAGATATCGTTTAACACGAGAGGGGATTGTTCGGCTCTTGGAAAGAGTTGAGCACAGCATTCAGCCTGATACACAGGTACAGAAACGCTTACGATGTATGGCCTATTTATTAATCGTAGACTTACGTGCTTGTAGGAAGGGATCGACTTTTTAATTTGTGCAGAAACACTCAAGATATTTACTCTATGCAACTGTATCGAGATTTTGGGAAAGGGGGCCACTTAAACATATGTTTGGGATGGTTTTGGTTTAGCCTAACCGTATTACGTACTAACTTTCCATTTGAATTGATTTTTCTGACGTGAAGGTATCGATATCATCATCCACCTGTACCCGCGCGCAACGCGCAGTTAGGCCACCGTGTGGGTTTGGTCAGTAACAAATCGGAACATAAGTGATTGTAGTGCGCATGCGCAAGGTACCGCCCCCAGAGTGGTAATAAGCATTTTAATGGACATTTTGAAGGGAAAAAAAGGCGATTGCACTCGACCTCCAACACGAGATATGTATATCTTGCAAACAATCGCTGATTATTCCAATCATATCATACCGGTGGACCGAGGTAACTTGGGAGGGGCTGCTTACATTATGTTGATTGGTGACAGCGCCACCAACGGTCTGCATGGGCAGGATAATGTTAATGGCTTCACGTCCAAAACCGAAATTTTGGCCAGGCAACTTGAAATGGTGGAGAATAGGAAAATAGCCATACCTTAACCATTAATCCCCGTTTTGGATACAGCCCTTATAATAATCACACTGACAACGCTATCAGATTCAAAACAAGTCCATAACCAGTACATTTATATAATGCAAGAGTCGCGCTCTTATCAACAACCTTCGTGCATATTATTAATAAAAGAACTTTTTATAAACTGTATTTTCCTAAAATTCAATTGGCAGTCAATCCCGCAATTCCACAAAGATAAAACCACACACAAGCACTTAGTATAATTTTGATAGACGATGCATGATACAAAAATTATGCAAAAAATGGATTGAATAAATATCTTTTTAATTAAGATTAAGTAAACATTTTATTACAAATTATTCCGATTTATTATTCATTCAATATAATAACTGTTGTATTATCCAAAGTTCTACATAACATGTACTTTGCATGCATTTGAACTTTGAAGTACAATGTAGCTTTAAAAAAAAATTGTATTATACCAAGCAAAAGTTTAAATAATATATTCTTTATAAATATCGTAACCTATTGCACAAAATATAGTCATACATGTATTTATTCTGAATATAATTTTGATTGAAATGTGATTATTCATGTACTGAACCAATAATTTGTATCTAAAATGTGAATGACTTGGGTGATGCCACAAAATAATTGTTAATTGCAAAACTATCATTTCAAATTTCAGCTAGAGCAGGTAAATTTGTTAATTAATTTCTATAATATTGAAATTCATTAATTATTACTGTGCACGATGTACATTATTTTCTTTACAGTGCAGCAATGCAATCCCTGCCCACATGCAACTTCTGGCAACGCTGCGCTTCTTTGCCACAGGCTCATATTACACTGTTCATGGTGACCTCCATGACATCAGTGTACCCTCAGTATGCCGAATTGTACATCGAGTGGCACATGCAGTGGCCAGATTAAGCCCAAGGGTCATCCAGTTTCCTGTGCATCCTCAGGATGTAGCAAGAGTGAAGCACGAGTTCTTTGAGATAGCCAGTTTTCCAAACGTTGTCGGTGCATTAGACTGCACTCATATCAGGTTGTATGGAGCGCCACTGGGAGAAGCAGAACATGTCTATGTGAATCGCAAGGGTTACCATAGCATCAATGTCTAGGCCACCTGTGATGCTAACTACAAACTAACTATTGTCGTAGCCAGGTGGCCTGGCAGTACCCACAATAGCGCCATCATCCATGGAAGCATTCTTGGACAGAGATTCACCAATGGACAGTAAGTCAAACATCACCAAGTCTGAGAATTGAAACAAAAAAATGCTAATCAAACCATTAACAAAAATATGAAATGCATTTCTTCTTGTCAAACTATCAACAGTTCGTGCCAAAACACTGCTTAAGACAGATATAGAGCCCTCTATTGTAAGAAAAGTTTGTTGTCATTATTATGGGATGGCGAGTGATAGGATGTACGGAGGACTAAAGTTTTTCAACCTCTTTGACATCGTTTTGACTTTCTCTCGAGTCTATGGATCAATATTTGGGTGTTTTGGAGCTATGAATGGATCTCAGGAGAGCTTCTCATAAACGGTAAGAACATATCGTCTGTAGGCAAGGCAATATTGGAAGACAATAAAACTGATCGAGGGCCTTGAATTGAAAATTATTGTGTGGACTTCTGTTTCCTATTCTGAGACTCGGAGAACAATTGAAACCTTGAAAACTTGTTATATAGGCCCAGTAACTGCCACGATTTGTGGTAGCCACATGGAAAAACTGCTAAGCCATGATGCAATTACTGCTCTTAAAAATGGAACATCTGTGCTCTATTGTTTTGCAGACTAACTGGAGTGCTCCTTGGAGACACAGGATATGCACTTCGTCCATGGCTGATGACACCCATCTTGAACCCAGCAACAAATGCTGAGCGACGATACAACAGGTGAAACTTATCCCAATGAATATAATTGCACACTTGAATCATTACATACATGTTTAAATTAACTTTGATAAAGTCTAGATTAATAACACATACCTTTGATATGCATCCCTCAAAATACAGGAGTCACAGAAAGTCGCGAGTGGTCATTGAGCAGACGTTCGGCCAGCTCAAGAGGAAATTTCCTTGTCTGGCTCTTGGCATGAGAATGGCTCCTCAGAGGGCATGTGTCATCATCAGGGCCTGCTGCGTGCTCTTCAACCTCTCCAAGGAGTTTGGCCAGCCAGATCTGGAAGATGGAGACGATGACAATGCTGATGAGAATGATGAATTGCTGTATGAAAGTCATATCCATGATGGGCAACTCCATCGCATCATGCTCATCAACAGATATTTCTAAATACAAAATAAAAAAAGGTTAAATGTGTATAAAATACTGTTATCTGCTGCCACACGACTGGAAAACACCTCCAATTCTGACCCCCCCCCCCCCACCACCACCAGTTTGCTTGAAGATGACTTGTATCCTTGATCCTGATTGGTCGAATCCGTGGTAAAAACACTATGATATTATAAATAAATATTTATCACGCAGCTGTGGTTTTCATTAGAACCATGTTTGAACTGAAACTGGTGTACGCGTTCAGCGTCACGCGTAGCGCGTATTGTTCCAAAGTGCCTGTACTACAGCGTTGAGTTCAAACATTTTCTTGAAGGGGTGGTTTGGAAGAGAGAAATACATTTTCCTCCAGTTTTGTATTGAAATTAAAGTTCATATATATCAAATGACAAGGATCTATATTGAGTGGCTTTAAATTGTGAAATGGGAGGAATATTGTCGCTCGGTAAAATTTTTCCAGTTGCCTTGCAATAATATTCCTCCCATTCCATGCTGAGCCACTCAATATTTGTATATTGTATTACCTCACCCACAGATTATGTGTCTTTATTGGCCGAGAGCGAGTCATGTGGAGCTTTCTATTTTTGCCATCTTTCTGTGCACGGCTAAAAGTACTACTTGTACATATATATATACACATAGGAACTACATGTATGCGCCCTTAAGTGTGTGTCAAGTTTACTTGAAGATTTTTTTTTGTTATTGCGCTGGCACTCGTGGAACACACAGAAAATGCAGTGCGTCTGTGTCCCACGTACAAAGGCCTTGTGGTACGCGGGATAAAGACGCACTACATTTTACGTATTCCACTCGTGCTTGCCGGATAACTGATGCCTATATACTTTTTACGTGTTCCGCTGGCGCACACAGGATCACTTAGGCCAATGTGGCAAAAATTCGTGTGAACATGAACAAATGTAACAGCAAAGTTTACGGGAAAAAAGAAATGAAAAGATGCTTAGCAGAGTCAGCCCTTTAGGAATATTTGGAATATTTTATGTTTAAACCTCAAATCACATTACACCAGTTTCACTCTTGGTTCTCATTATATTTCTGGTTTATTAAAACAGTAAATGAAATTAAACATTAAAATGTCATGTAAAAAGTCAAGTGTAAAACAAACAATCTGATAAAAAATACATCAAGTGAGTCTAAAAGGGAAAATATAGTGCACGTATGAAACATTTCATTAAAGAATTTGGTTAAGCACTTAAGTACGCTTGCACTGGAATTTAAGTACCCATCTGGAATAAAATTTAATATTTTCTAGTACATTAATACAGGGATGAAGTTTTAAATACATTTTCAAGCAAAACTCATTCAAACCTAAAATGTATGTGTGCATATTGTCATGCGGGTTATAGATGCCTGTAAAAAATAGAAAGAAATTATAATTTGTGTTTTATTTTAACTCTAATTAATTTTTACATTCAACGGCAATATGTATTTAACTTTCATAGTCGATGGTTACACCATTCTTCTCGAGAGTGAACTCAAGAAACAACTGCAAGTTCCAGCTGATGTGACTCAACGATGCATCAATCTACCTGGAAACTTGCAGTTGTTCGCTGTCTACTTGCAGGCGCTCACGCTCTTCAAGTAGACGCTCTCTCTCCAGAAGAATGATGGATTCGTGGGAATTAAATCTTGAGCTCGATGATGGTGGAGCTGGTAGTGGTTGATCTTTGCTGAAGTGAGCTGCTGCCAAAGACCCATCCTGATCCTCGAACTCGTCTTTTATTCCAATCTCAGCAGTTGTGACGGCTTAAAAAAATAAGATATACAGAAAAACAGATTTATTAAGATTTAAGATTTATCATATTAATGTCCAATCATATGTGTTGCATGTATTAATGATTTGTATTATAGTGATTGAAAGCAAATATTTATTTTGTGAAACAAATTATATTTACAAAAATATTAAATTATCAAAAATATGAAGTATTTATTTCAAGAAATACAAACAAGTTCTCTGAACTGTTAGTCTTGTATATTCTTTTCTAAAATTGTAGCGCTACTAGTATTCTGTCAGCATTCTTACCTTCAGCGATTTTGTCCATCAGCAAATCAACTTCTGGTTGGAGTGGGTCTGTTTCTCCTTCCTCCTGATTAAGGATGCCATCCTTGGCAATGGGCAGCAATGCCTCCAAAACAAGATCGAATGTCTTGTTTGTGGCTGGCTTCTCACCTCCTCCTGTATAAAAACAACAACAACAACATTCGAAAGTGGTCTAGGACTCTAGGTTCATACTCATTACAGGCATGAGAATGAATTGCAATGAAAAAATACATGGAATTTGTTCCGAAAGGGGGAAAATGTGTGCAATCAAGCAAAAAAATAACGTCCAGTGTGTGTAATGGAGGGAGTCAGAGGGACAATTTCGCCAGGTTCAGAAATACACAACAGCGTGGCGTAGTTTACAAGCCACGTTCACGGGTCTAGCTCCATGCCAATATTATCGTTGTAACTTCGTATTCACAAGATGGGATTCAGACCATTTTATAATTTCAGACTTTATTTCCCTTTTAAAAAAAATCCTCCAGAACCACAAATCTGAAAAAGAAAATGTAATACTCTGCAATAAAATGTTTGAGACATGTTAAAATAATAAAAAAAGAATATTCTTATTTATTTGGGGATGGAAAAAAAACCTTAAAAATGTGGCGAGGATCATAATTCGAACTCGGGACATCCCACTCACTAGAGCAATTGCTTATCCACTGCACCGATTGTGCTACACAGCTTGTTGGGAATTTAATGCATATTATAATTCAGCCCTATCTTAAAGCGCCCTCTGTTGATATGGATTGCCGCCGGCAAACCTTTAGTAAACGTTAGTTTGCCGGCGTTACCTCCGGCAAAATATCCACTATCTTCAAAAAACAAGTTTTTAAATAATTTCAACTTGAATAGATTTGCAGAAGATGTTCTTTATTGCTTTTTCTACTATATATTATAAAGCTACTTTTAATTTTCGAAAGCATACTACTTTACTAGGCTAGATACAAAATGTGTTGATGCTTGTTGACAACTGTTGATGCTTGTTGACGAATTTGGTAGGACCCTTTTTTCAGTTGTCGTTGAGATGATTGATGAAAAAAAGCAGTGTCAGATTTGCACATTCTTTCCTATAGGCTTAGGCCTATCTGACTTTTCATGTTGAACTAGTTGTTTCTAGGCCATAGGCCTAGCCTAACTAGAAATAACATAAAAATAATAAAATATTAATAGGCCTAATGTTAGGCCTAATTAATAGGCTATTTTATACAGTATAATATTTACCTGTTCTGTTCATGTCTCGGTGATACGCCCTTGCTTTACTGGTCATATCCTGCCATTTCTTCCGTATTTTCTGGTTTTCTCTGGGAATGCCTCCATTCTCAACAAGCACTTTCCCTGCCTCTTTCCAATAGTGGATCTTTACTTTTTCCACGTTTGCCTTTGATTTTTTGCCTTTGCAGCTGCTTCCGAAGAGCTCATTTGTGTGCTCGTGCACATACTGGCACAGAACAGCGATTTCTTCATGGGTCCAGTTTTCAGACCGTTTCTTTTATACATTTCCATTGTGCTCCGTTCGTAATCGTGGTAATGACTCTGACTCTCACTCAGTTCCTGCTGATTTCGTTTAATTTTCGCGCGACAGAATCACTACGCTGATCCAAATAATCTCCCATAACAATCAATACACTAAACTTACCTTGAAAATTGCAGGCAGATGAGAGCAGACGACATCAAATGATGACACTTTTGGACAGCAAATTTCCTCCAAACATTTCACGTTTTTCCCGCGTTTTGCAGACGTGTTGATTCCAACGACTATTTTGTGACTAAAACATTTTCAAACATAAAACTGTTGTAGGTGAGACAAGAATTAGGCTCGTCCAAGAAATGTATGTCAGTAAAACTAAAAATGCAACGCATCGCCCTTACGACGCGTTTAGTGAAATGGTTCTCAGAACACGTCGCAGCTACGATGCGTCGCAGGGCTGCGACGCATCGTAAACCGTGCGACGCGTCTTAAGTTAAGAAGAGTTTAGTGAAATCGGGTGCAGGGGTTCCGCGCGTGGGAGAACAGAGCGGTCGATTTCACGAAACTGTTCTTAACTTACGATGCATCGCAGGGTTTACGAGCCATCGCAGCTCTACGAAGCATCGTAGCTACGACGAACTGCTTTTGCAATTTCACGAAACACATCGTAAGAACGATGCATCGCAAGCAATGTTTTATATAAAATAAAGTTTGTGAACGAGGATGACCTTAATGCATACGTCTCTTTTATGTGAAAAACAGTCTACAACAATGCAACAGCCGTCTGTAGCGCGCGAAACCAAGAGACGCGCACGCAGGCGCGCTGAAGATGGCCGATGATGTCGTCTGCTATTAAATATACGAAGACCGTCCACGTTGCTAAGGAATTTTGGTAAGTTATTCATTTGATTAATTAAAGTAGGCCTACTGAGTGATATTTACAGCGATAAACTTTGTTGTCCTAGTCAAAGAGTATCCAGTGTAAAGACTGCACTGCATCCATCCAAACTTCCGTCAGTCGGTTGTCTGCACGCTTTCGGCTTAAATTCACATTCAGTACGTATTCCGGTTGGGGTTAAATTTGAAGTTAAATGAGAAGATTTTAACTTATTTTATTATTAGCGATAGTTAAAGCGATTTAGGATAAAGCCCCAGTTCTTTTCACCAAAATTAAAACGAACTTACGAAGGGACATACTTCACAGAACCACCACTTTTCTCTTACTACTATACAAAGTAGTCACAGCACAGGCAGAATTTCGACAATATTATTATTAATTATTGAGTCAAGACTCAAAGTCAAACTTAGTTTGACTGAGTTATAAAAAAACTGATATTTTCCCAGGTTACATTAGGCTTTAGCCCTATGCTGGCTAATGTAAAATAGGCCTCTAACTACTCCCAGCCATCGTCACCAGGGCTTCATTCTGAAAACAAGAAACTTGTATTAAATTTAAAAAAAACATGTCCATACAATTGGGAGGGGGGGGGGTTACAATATTCACCTCAGAATT